TGTGTGTGTTTGTGTGTGTTTGTGCTTGTTTGTGTGTGTTTGTGTGTGTTTGTGTGTGTTTGTGTGTGTTTGTGTGTGTTTGTGTGTGTGTGTGTGTCTGTCTGTCTCTCCCCCTCTCTCTCCAGGGCATGGGGACGGGTTAGCGTCCCCGGGCCGAATGGCCCACCCAATGTTTTATTGGGTACCGGGGAGTGAGAAACGAATATGGGTCATCAACTGGCTCATGCCCTAAAGTATGCGATATTGGAACTTTGATGACCGTATATTCTCCAATGACACATGCTAGAGGTTATAACATCCGCCTTACCCCTGTCAAGCAAAGGAGCTACCCGAACTGGAACGAAGGAGTGGCAAGTTTGGATGTTTCCCCTCACGAATTGAAAGATGTACTTTACTTCACTGCGCAAATTATCAAAGCCAGCGAGGGAAGAGGGCCGCCATTGACGAAAGAAATTATCCAAGACATTGAACAGAACTCCAGGCTGGCATCCCCCTCCCCCGACATGAAGGACTTTCTTCAGATTAGCGTGGCGAAGAGCTTCATCTTCTGACCACTAACTTTGGCGAAGCAGAGGCTCACAGCATATAGGGTCATCGAACAGTCTACTGTAAGGATGTCCCCGGTCAAAGTTGATTTCACCTGGCTATTTCGGGCTCCTTCACGTGTTATTGGCATATTCGAAAAGTCGTGTGACTCACCTCTTTTTTGTAAAGAGAGAAGCAACAGTCTAAAGCAGGTCCTAGGAAAACATCATGAGTGAAGCGTTCGGAGGGGCGAGTCACCCATCGACGTGGTACTCCCACGACTTTTCAACGCCTCGAAGGAGTAGTTGTCCAAATGTGTTGAGTAGTACACTGCTCTTCAAAGCAAGGATGTCCCCCCACTAAGAATGAGATAGCACGGTATATGCACCCCAGTATTCTGCTCAATGCCATAGGATACTGTTGTCGACTCCCTCATCGGTACAAAGGAAACAACGGCACAGCGCTATATAACAGGCCTGCTAGGCTACCATGCGTACGTGTTGTGGTTGAGGGAGTCGCTGCAAAAGACTCTCATCCTCTCTCTCTCTCTCTTTCTTCTTCTGCACAGCCAAGACAGAAGGAGCGCGCGTCCCCTTTCCCCTGCGTGCGAGCGCGCCCTGGTCTCGCGGTCTGCGTGAGAGAAAACAGTCTAATGAGGCCGAGGACTGTGACTCACGAACCCCCGCATTACCCTGCACACCAGGGACCCCCGGCCTCATCTTGTCTGGGGCTGTTGCAAGCTCTGCTCGCCGAGCTGTGGGATCTTGCCACGTACAACTCGTTCTCTCTCTCTCGCGCGCTCTCCGGAGCATAGGGAGCGTCCGAGGGCCCCCCGGGCCGAAGGCTCACCGGAAAGGTATCCCCCAACCTTTCTGGCGGGGGGCCCTTGTTTCACGCTCTCACAACTCGGACAAGCCAGGCGAGGTTGAACCGGTCGGTCAAATTTTAGGGTGCGAGCGCAGGTCCCCCATTCCTGACTCTCCGCTCTAATTAACTAACTACTGCTTAAGGACCTGATAAGGACCTTGCTTGTGCTAGTTCTGGTAGTTGTTGCCTGCTTCTGCTTGCTGCTGCGTTTACTTGCCCTGGCGTGCTGCACGAACTTTCAATTGCCTGCTGGTTCATGGCTTCCGGCTTGCTTGCCGGCTTCTTGATCGGAAAAGCAGAAACAAATAGCAAAAGAAGATTGGCGTAAAAGTAGGGTCGCCCGTGTTCCGGAGGTATCTTGATGGGATGTAGGTCAACTCCAACCCCACACGGTACCGAGTGATCGGCCGGGCATTCATGTGTTTCTGCCCGTTGCCCTCTTACCTGCTTGACTTCAACATCATACGAGCCTGAAGCAGATAACCTTCATTTGATGAGTTGCTACTTCGCACCATGCTCGACTGAACTATAATTTTGGATATGTTTCCGGCCAAGGAGACTTCCGCTTTCTTGGCTTCACCCAACCACTGAAGAGCATTGGCCCACTGGTTCTGTGTGCAGCACAGAGCACCGCAACCTCGGACTCAGAAAGTGGAGTAGCGCAAGCACGGTAGTCACTTGCCTTTGGACATACTGTTGACGAGCAGCGAAACGTATTCGAGTCTGGCTGGAGAGCCTGAAATGGCCAGGCTCGTTTGCAGAACGAAATCAGGCATCTCAAAGCGCCTGATATCACGTGGGCACTAGCCTGGGGAGCCCGCGGTGTCTTCACCAGGGAACTTCTACGAAAAACAAGTTGGATTCGATCAATAGGACAAGAGAATGCAGCCAAAATGCAGATGCCACAAAGTTCGACATAATCTTCCGGGCGAGCTCGTGGCCACGATTCTTGCATGCTGATATCCTTGCATGCCGCTCGGCAAGGAAGCCTGAAGCCTGTCCATCGCAATCGCTGCTACTGCAATGCAGGGGAGCTGCACGCAGTTCACAAGGGGCATGTCCACTTCCAGCTTTTCCATGTCCATGATCGCAAGGATACGGATGGCAGCATACCATGCCCCCGCATCTTTGAAACCAGAGATTCCCAGCATGATGTCCTTAGACATTTGGGACATTGTCCAACTCGACCCGTTGCAGGCGTGTGATCTCCCCGTGCCTGCATGTTGCTCGTCAATGTCCCGTTCGGGAACAGCAACTTCTCTGCCAGACCTTCCTCAGTGGGTAGTGGGTCGCGTATTCGTCTTTGCATGCGCGAAGGCCTGCACTGCCCGTCCCGGCCTTCTCAACTTTTGGAGATCGGCGCTTGAGCTGTGAGATGAGCTCGCGCCTCTCCATGCGCTCCAGGCGTTGCCTGTCCAAGTCCCGGAAGCTGTGCCCTTGATTTCACCCCCTTCTGTGGCCAAGTGGACTGCCAAGTGGCATTTTTGACCGTTGGAGGAGATGTCTGCATCGTCTATATACATGTCGATCCAAGAAAGGCTTCAAGGGCAGCTTCACGCTCAAAAGTGCTGAGCATGCAGTCGTGTTTGGACATGCGCATGCTGCCGACCGTGCGCATCGAAACACAGGTCACTAGGCTAGGTCACTAGGCAGAGTTGCTTCACCATTTCTTGTGCCGCTTTGTGCTTGTACTTCAGAGTTTCGGGAAGCCACCACACCGGGCCGTCCACATAACCCTCCGGAGCTCCACAAGCTTCCGACCTCGAAAACACAAAACACCTGCCGCGCTGCACTGAAGCCGAGAGATGCAACTTACGACCAAAACCACTGCACCGCCCAAGCAACTGCTCTTTGTGGATGCGTGCCAAAACCTCGCCTTTGATGTGTTCACCTGATAACGCCGGATGCCGCGAATGGCGTTCACGTGTGCCAACTCGTCACAACTCTCTCGCTCTCTCTGCCAAAATCGCCAGCAAAGTGAGCCAACGCCGGCTGCGCTCTCGCCGCTTGCAGCGCCAGGACCAAGTCGTTCCGATGTTGGGATCCCAGCCTTGGGCTCTGACTATTCACCTGCATTCCGCCTTAGCGGCCTTAGCGCTTTCTGAGGGCATCTTCACATTATCTTCGTGTTGCAGAGTCTGTCCATTGGAGCACTAAGCAGCTGCTCGAACACCCATGGATTCACCATCACTGCCGCTGTCCCAAACCTCGGCTTTCACGACATGGCCCGAGGAGAGCCAACACTCCAACAGATTGCGGTGGGCCACTCAGGTGTCTGACGCAGCGAGGCATCCACAAAGTGCACGGCCTGCGGCGCCTCCACGCTTCCCAAAGAGATCCGAAGCTACCCCCGCCGGCTGTCAACGGCTTCGGGACGCTCAGCTCTCCAAGACTCCAAGGGGCCTTCTGCACTGCGGTCAAGGCAACCTGTTGTATGTCGCAAACTTCAAACTTCAAATTTGAACTCTGACAAAAGTTTGTCTCCCTGGGGCCTCTGGGTGGGAGTGCCAGCCTGCCGCGAAGCGCAGCACATCGCCGTTGCAGCGGACTGCGCGTAGAACGAACTCCTGAGGGTCGTTTCGAGGTTTGCAAAGCCCACACGGACCTACTCTGATGATGGAGTCAGATTCTGACATGGTTGACTTGATCGCGAGAAGTGCCGAGCCCTGCATGACTGAAATCATCACGAAAACCTTACGTGCTCTAATGCTCTGCTTCTTGTGAATCAAACAGTTGTCTGTCATGCATTTCACGATGCACAGCTTCTCCAGCAGCTGCTTCATCTTTGTCCTACCTTTCTTCCCCTGGGTATGAGTCCAGCTGCTTTTGTCTCTTTCTTTGTCTATCTATCTGTCTCTGTCTCTGTGTCTGTGTCTGTGTCTCTGTCTCTGTCTCTGTCTCTGTCTCTGCCTCTGCCTCTGCCTCTGCCTCTGCCTCTGCTTCTGTCTGTCTTTTTTCGCCACGGCTAGGGGCAAGAGGGGCAAACCCCGCTTACCCGCGCACGTTAGCGCCCCCGACTAATTAGAAAAGGCAAACTCTACCAGGGCTATTACTTCGGTCAAGGCAGAAACAGCCGGTAAAAGCTAAGGCAACACGACATAGATGAGAAAAGCGCATGAAATAGAGTGCTTTACTTCCAGCCCAGGCATGGCTTTGCGAAAGCTAAAAACCGGGCTTCTACTACCGAGTCCTACCCTGGGCTCAAGGGGCAAGACTCCTTTTTCTCGAAGCCACAAAAGGCTGCGGTGCGCAGTGGTTCTAAGC